TTTTAATTAGCTATTAAAGGCAAAAGGGGGAAGGGAGTTCTCAAACTAGAGTCAAGAGTCCAATCCTACTAGAATTTCTGTGTGAGTATATTCTTGATTTAGAGAAGAAAGTATCAGCACAGACAGACCAATAGCATTACAGCGAGGAGACGAATGAACCTGCATAGGTGTGGAAGTTTCTGTAGCACTCACATTGTTAGCCAAACATCTCAATGGTTGTAATAAAATTGAAAAGAGAATAAGCGATTAGAGGAGTTGTTGATTACACAGAGTACAGCAGCTTCAGTTTAAGGCAATACTGTGAAATTATTTTTGTCTGAGATTTTATTAGAAAGATAGGATATATTTACTGGGAATTGACAGTTCAAATATGAGAGTAGTGATAAGAAAGTGGTAATTATATAGAAACCATGAGAATATTGGCAGTTCTTTGAATAGTGTTATTGTATAATAATGGTGGAAATGTGATGGAAAAAATGATGGACCGGGATCACACAGACATGGTATTGTTAAAGGAGTCTGTGGGAGAAGAAGGGAATAAAATCTGTATGAGCTGCAAATGGTGAGACGGATAATTAAGGGTGGTAAAAAAACCTGAAAATTGGCAACATTTTGAATGAAGCTGCATTTTCTCTGTGTATGGGCCACATATAGTACCATCTAATAGAATAATAGGTAAGAGTTGAAAAAAATTATAATTTGATACTGGAAATAAAATGCATAATTAATCCTAAACATAATGCTTACCATATCATAGACAAAATGTCCATAAGCCAAGGAGAAAGTATAAGACCTCTTAGCAAAGATGCTAGAATAAAACATTTCAAGGTGTTGGCTTCTGTATTTGATCTGCCAAGATGGGGCAGGAAACAGGCATGTTTCCTTTTCTTGGAGCTCCTCACCACTGTTTGGCTGTTACTTTGAGCACAGAAAATGTCAGCTCCTGAGGGAGCAATCATTAGGCAGGTGAATCTGAAAAGGCATTGATGCATTTGGATGCATTATGAATGCATCCAAACAAACTGCTTAAACCTATCGTTCTTTCTGCTCTGCTGGCAATGTTAGCTACCAGAGAGTATCAGCTTCAGGGAGATATAAAAGCATTTTATATGACTAAAAATTTCTTGCATGAAATCCTGTTTCTACAAGTTGGAGTAATCTACTTTTGCTGTATGTTAAAAAGAGAAAGCAAAAGTAGGATAACACTTTATGAGGCATATAAACATGGCAGATGCATCCATCTTCTTACAACCCTTATTTTTGTCTTTGTCTTCTCAGGGTTATCAGATGCTGTGGGCATCACTTTCAAGAGAAGAACTTTTACTCCCCTAAACCCAGTCTGAAAAGTCTTTCTTTTCCTAGGAAAGACAAGTATCCTAATACTAGGTGTTGCTATTGATGTGTTGCTACAGTGTACAGCATTTTTTTTTTCCCTAGTGGAAAAAAAACACATACATTACTGAAAGAAAGAGGCTTTCTGCTCATCTCTCATAGGTTCAAAGTTTTGCAAAATAATTTTCTATGTTTTTTTTTTCTCTCTAAGGCAGTCCTCCTGATGCAAAGATTTAAATTCACACTACTGTCGCTGGTTTTCTCAGCCCGAAAGATTGTTCCTGCTCATTCTCACATTTCTCTCTTGGGTGTGTAACTTGAATTGCCTTATGCTACTTCAACAGGGACTGCAAGCCATCTCACCTTTCTCAGCCCAGCACCTTCATCCCATATTCATTCAGTCTCAACAAATTTACTTCTAAATTCTCTCTTGCCAGGCAAAGTGAAGTGTCCTACCATCTCTGTAAGAATCAAAACAGTGTTACTTCTTCTGAGAGACCATAGTGGCCCAGTCATTCACTCACCCTGATAGAAAGCTTTTCACCTGAAATAGAGATTGGAGTATCTCGGCAGAGCAATATATTTTAAACTTTCTTTTCCCATACCGTATCTCTCATCTCTATTTAGAATTAGAATCCCAATATTTTGCAGGCATATTTACATTTCAATTGAAGTTCATAAATACACATAGGAGTGTTCATTTTCTTTTGCTTTTGATATCATTTAATAAAAATAACTAATGCAGATTCAGTCAGATCAACTATGCAATATCACCTCATATTTCGGCTTAATAGGCTACTGTTGAGCTTGATTACAGTTATGCAGTTAGAAGACTCACATTTTAAATGACTTTTAAAAAATAAGCTCAGCAAGTCTCCCTTGTTTAATAAAGCCGAACTTATAAATGCTGAATAAAGGTGAATACATACAAGTGCCACAGTAGTTGTCTTGGCTGTCACTCAAGCCAAAGTCCTTTATTGCATGTGTGTTACATCTTAATTCCAGTTATAAAGGTGAATGCAATTGCCCATATAGACCTATAGGACAACATCTGTTCAGGTGATAAATATCTGTATGAAATACACTCTACATATAAAATTTTTTGTTGTTGAATTATAACCTCCAAGGTAACATGGCTGTTGTATTACTATTTTGAAAATGAAATGATTAAACAGGACATTCTGCTGAAAGGTGACATGGCCTCAAAGGAAAATGATTCTAGCAATACCTTCAGGACAGTGTTTGCGTTCCGTCTCCTTAGTTGTTGATTTTGTTTGTTTGTTTAGTTGGTTTGTTTTTGCATAACGGTTAAATTAATTATTTTTTGATTTGCCATTACTGCAGTTCTTCAGAGCTGCTGTTCTACAGTTCTTGACTGACAGCTATTGAACTTCCAGGTCCTATGCTACATCTTTTCTGTCACCATCTGTTGTCACAGTAAGGATTTGATCAGGTTTATTTTGCAGATCTCTGGAATGAAACTTCTATTGTTAAACGTTTAGAATGTGTGTATAGAAACACACAGAGGGAGCTGAGTTTTTGTTGTTAAATTAAGCAGTAATGCATGATAAGTTATAAATTATGCTGTGATAATTCCCTGCATTGTATCATCAGACATCTTTGGTGTTTGGCATAGATTATTATTCCATAATTTAAACTATTGGAAGGCTTACACTGCTTATTAAAGACTGTATTGAGCTTTCTGTAAAATAAAAGGCATATAGATATACATAAATATATTCTATTTTGCTGATAGGAAGTACTGTTCATTGAGCAGTTATTTTGATAATTTTAGATGCTTCTGAGACTCTAACTATTAGGGGGAAAAAAAGAACCTTCCAACAACTGTGCTTCCCATGGCCAATAGGAGATTTTTCTTTCTTTTCGCTGTAGTTCACAGTAGCTTTTGAAGTTGAAGAGAGACCCAAGCTCTGAAAGGGCAATATACTCTAGAGCTGGTTACAGAGTTTTCAGGTAGAGAAAAGCTGCACATCGACATTTGAAGGGAAGGTCAGACTGCTGAAGATAGTGGGTTACCTGATGAGCTAGAGAACGTTCATTCGTGTTGTGAGTCACTTGATGAAATTATTGGATAGCAATGCCTATATCCTGGAACTGCATACCCTATAGCTCATGAGAGGGTGGAATTAATTTGGAGACCTGTTGGATTTTTATGTAATAGAAAAGACAGGTTAGATCAAGTTCTTACTTAAATCTCAAACTGTAAGTCTCAAGCTGTGTACCAAATCATTTCTGCATGCCCAACAAGTTCAGTTTTGCCTCAGGTATGGTTTTCATCCTCATTTTACTTTTTTTTATGCATTTAATTTCTTACACTTTGTCTAATACTAACTTTTTAGCTGGTTTTTCTCTGCAATATTAATGTCACTACGTGAAAATTGTTGTCAGTAGGGGTAAGCTTTGCCTGACTAAATTTAATGACCACATCCGCGTTAGATCTGGATTCAGATTTTGGTTAATACAGGGAACAAAGCTGTTCTCAAATAAAGGCCTAAATAGAGCAGGTGAATGAGGAGAGTCTAAATATCTTGATCTGTTGTAAACGTTTAAAATTGGGTCAGCTAAATAGACATGTTCCACAACTGCAGCTTATTAAGTAGAATCCTAAATTATAAAGAAAAACAGATGATTTTATTTATTGATTGGTTCTGGAAGATGAGCTATTAGATTTTTTTTAATGTATTTTAGTGATATTTCAAGACTAAATTAAAGAAAGGACTTAGGAATCAACAAGGAAATGATACTATGCCTAGGCATTAGCCATTTGGCTGCTGAAGCATTGAGAAGCACTGGAATAGGATCCAAAACAGCCGATGCTGAGCTACCTCAGACAGCATACAGGAACAAATTTGAAAGCCCTTCTCTCTTTGGAGCATTAACTTTGGCCTGGGCCAAGGTTGCATTCATGTGAGATAGAAAGCCTTGAGCTGTCGCACAAAGACTCCATCTAAGAACAGAACAGGGGTGCCTACTCTAAAAAATAAATAAATGTACTTGACAAAAGAATTAATTGATATTCATGCCTATTTTGAGGTGACAGTCATGGCTTTAAAGCATTAGTGTGGGAAGTGGAGAGCTTGATTTATTGCTTTCCAGATTAAGGAATTCATATTCACATATTTCACCTTTCGTTAGTACCTCTCATACACTCCAGTCAAGTAGAGAATCAGGCAGCTTCTGATCCCATACGTCTTGCATATCTTTCCGCATCGTGTCATAGCTTCAAAAAGAGCTGTGTTATACCTCAGCTTTTAGCTTGATGGTTAGGTTAGAAGCTGAAAGATAAGTTTGACGCACTGACTTCATGAGTGCTGTAATTACTAGGTGCTATAAAAAGGGCATGCCCTTTAGCTGCTACTTTTTGAAAGAGTATGATCTTAACCACATTTAGTAACAAGCCTGATCTTGCCCACATGCATTAGGCATTTTACTGAATCACACCCCCCAAAGCAGATTTAGGCAGAGGAATCATTACTTTCTGATTTGTCATAAAGCTTTAAAGTGAGGAATGCTTGCAGTTCTGCCCAGAAGCATAATTCTGTATCTGGGATAAAGTCAGACAGTGAGAATCCAATGAGTTTAAATAGCAGCTAAATAAATAGTTGTTTTTACGTCACTTTATCTCTCTGTTCTATTTATGTACATGAGATATATTTAAATCCATCTTTAAGCCCCTAAATATTTATTCGCATCTGCGAATCTTTGCATCTTTGTCACTGAAGAATTTGGATATGCAATGTAAATAAAACAGTAAAAGAGATACCTGAAATTCATAAAATTAACAAAAGAATTATTGTTTTGGAATCACATGCATGTTTTTTGAGCGTGGTAATATTAGCAGCATTTTTTAAATCATGAAATTGTCATTTCTAGTTTTAATAGAATACAAATTTGCATCTTTGTCATTATTGGACAGGTTTTGTTTAGCTCCTATCCAAACAGCGCACCAAAGCAGAAGGAAAATTTTCAGCAGCCAAAAGCAATTTTCAGCATCATGGAACTTGTTTAGAAATAGATGCCTCAAATGAGGGTATATGCTGTACCTCTCTGCTCTCTTATAAAGTGCTGAAAAGTGGTAACAAATAGAAATAGAGAAAGTAGGAAGGGAAAGAAATCAAGTCACAGTAACAACAAAGGATTGAGGTTATCTTTTCTTTACAATTATACTTAGAAATATATAAGCATGGGGAAAAGACTGTTTTCTCTAAACCTCATCTTAAATCAGGAATTATTAATATCTGTAGCTTATCAGACATGAATTTGTTCTGCCTTCCCACTTTGGAATTTTCATTGGAAGCTGGGACTAGAAATAAAAACACTGTAACTACTTATTATGATTTCTCTTTTATTGCATCAAGTGAGAGTTTAAATTTCCCAAGAATAACATTAATTTTAGCAGATTAGAATGAAAGTGTTCAGTAAACCCTCACATTATTCCCTGGGGAATTATATCATCTAAATAAATTAATTGGAATCAATGAAGCATATACTTCAACCGTAGATCTTCTCTTAAAGGAGCACATGGGACATAACAGAGCTTAAAAAAAAAGTATTTTTAATTACTGTCTATGTGGGGAGAGGAGGGAAATATGAATGCAAGAGTATTTCATTGTTTTTCCTTCACTTATTTTTTTATCTGCTCAGAAGGTCTGATTGTGCATCCTATCACATCATATTGTCTCCTGTGAAAGTAAAACAGTTAATCTCTTAAACTTCTAAGAATAGAAATAAACTTATGAGAGCAGTGGAATTTTGATGGCCATAGACAGTCCTTGATGTTTCCCTTGCAGTTCAATAATATTTCATGGTAGCAGCGATACAGCCGCTAACTGAGTTCCAGGAAATAGTTGGTGTGTAAAACAATGCAAAGCAATTTGAGGCAAAGAACAGGACAGCTCAAAGGTTTTACATCGTATGCTTGGTTATATAGCCTCTCTAATGACTATATATATGAATGCCTTACCTGCCCTATCTGTGATGCGGAGAAAATGATGTTTAGAAAGTACATTTATAATTTATATATTAGGGATATTATATTGTATAATATAATATCCCTTGTTTAATATAATATCCCTTAGGGATATTAGATTGTATATTAGGGACATGCTATTACAGTATCAAATTCAATGTGTAGCCAGAGAATCAGCTTAACCTTTGATCTTCTGTTTATGCTTAAAATACTTATTTTGGATTTCTGTTTCCTAATAGCTTCTTCTGAAGATTTTTATAAAATATTTGGCACTATTCTACTTCGTCATCATAATATCGATAATCTTTCAAGGAGGCT